ATCCAAAGTCCCTCTCCTGCTTTCAATACATTTTCATAGACCAAAGACAGAGGATACAAGAGAAATGTAAATTTGCTGCCATCAATCAGCCACAACCTTAAAAACGCCTCTCTGAATACTCAAGATGCCCCAGCTGTTCACAAAAACATTGTTTTTAGTTTCCCCTTATGGGATAATAGGAAAAGCAGTACATTGCTGAATTCACCAGGACATCCAGGAAAATATCCCCTGCTACAGGGATGCCTTCCTGTAGGTTGGTTTGTGTTATTAACTCCCAAAAAGCTGGACGCAGTATGAGAAGCTATTTGAAAAATTATTCTCAGACATTATCTTCATGGATAATGAGATCCTGCTGGAACTGGGGACATGACCCACCTTCAACTCTGCCTCTGGCCAGTTCTGTTTCACTGAAGAGCTGAATTTTCAGAGAGAACTTCTGAAACACCCCTGGAAAGATGACTCAGGCTTTTCATGGCTTGTGCTGTTCAGAGCGTATGACAGGAGAATGCAAGAACTCCCAGGCTGGCAGTGAGATCTTCCATGAGATCTTGCTTTCAGCATGTCCAGAATATGGGAATTGGAGATAGGAAGGCTTCCTGCTGCTCCTTAGATTTCCTCATACTTCACAGATAGGATCATTAAACCAACAGGGTGGGGCTTTTCTTCTTTTATCTCAAGTCCACACTGGTTTTTCTCACTGGGAAAACCATCTCCCTTTGTCTTCCCTCTCAGCACCTCATGGCTTTCGAAACCATTCCAAGTACCATCTTTACAAAAAGGACCTAAACCAAGACTTGTGTTAACAAATTTTACATATTCCATCTATTGAAGATTGCGGTTTCCCCAAGGAAAATTCTCTAGTTACATAAAACCACCCCACAAGAATTTAAACTTGTAGTATTCCTGCATTCAGCAACTCTATTCACTAACATAACGCACTTCCCTGTTTTCAGCACTAGATTATACCACTGAAGATTCTCTCTGGAGCCTCTTGTACAAAAGTTCACGAGGAGCAATTCCCCAATCACTATAACCGATTTCAAATGGTGCTAGAAAATATTATTGACTCTGAGCACCAAAAGAAATCAGTCATCCTCTAAAGGGGTTATGGAGATCTGCAAGGACGAAGACTTAAGTGCTGGATGGTATTTGACACTGGAGAATCCCCAAACACTTGTTAATTAATTATCTCCGTGGCATTATTCACTGACAAATATTAAAAGCATTATTAAAATGTTGATGAGAAAACAAAGGTACAGTGAAAACTTTCAAAATCAACCATTAGCTGCACACATCTTTTAATACAGTGAAATACTTATAAAAATATAACCCTGAAACACTTAAAAATTCTCCAGATTTCAGTAAACTTGGAAAACGTGACCAACCACAGTGTGTTCCAGTTCTCACAGCTGTTGGTGCTGGCCACTGCCATCAGCTACAACGAGCGCATTCAGCCATCAAACTGTGACCTGAACACTGTAAAATATAAGTAACAAAATAAATAATGTATTCTCACCTGTCAAACACGCCACGACAAAAAGCAAGACAAGGCGGCTGGGATACAAACAGCATCCAGAACCCCCAATGCTTCAGTGCAGAATTACCTGCTTTAAATTCTCTTGGGTGCCTTGTATGACACATGTAACAAGCTGTTTACAAGGCTGATAAAGAACCAACGAAGATGTGCCTATGGAAGGCTAAAACATGTTTTGAGTCGAAAAAAAAGTGCAGTACATGCAGGTACCTTCCTAATTCCTCACCACTGTTGTATGAACTAGCTGGGCTAGTTTTTATCAGTTGTGCTAGTTTTTATCGGTTGGTGCATTAAAACCAACATCTTCAATATTGAGCTGGAATTCTGTGTTACACTTTTTTTTTGTGTGGTCTGTGTCTTGTGAGGCCTCCTCTGGTTCCGAAGTCGCTGTTCACCACGTACAAGTACTATAAACACGCTGACAGCAGAATTCCTGCCACTGCACAGCCCTCCCAAGAGTCACTTGGGCCACAGACCCCCACAGTCCCAAGGGACCTCATTTGGTGGCGGAGCTAATTACAACAGCAGAACCACACAAGGAAGACGATGACCTTCTCTTCTTCTCCTCTGAGGCTTCTGAGGATCCGTCTCCCTGATGAAGGCAGGCATTCTTCCTCCAAGAACACTGATTTCAAATGGTGCTAGACAATGAATAGTTAAATCTAAACCACCATATGAAATCAGCTTCCTGAGGGAGCTTGTGTCTAGCTGGGAGGATATTCCTGTAACAATAAATTGGAAATGCCACAGAAGAATACCTAGCCATGTCGGGTTTTTATTTTTCCTATTAAACAGTTGATGCCTTTTTCTTATTCTTACCCTTGATTTTGGTTTGAGTCACCAAATGTTCACTTCTGTTTTCTATTATATTGCTACCAACAGCAAGAGAATTGCTTGCAGCACTGTCACTCCGAAGAATTTTGTTAGCCAAGCTTGAACAACATGTACAAGGCTTTAACAAGGAATGAAAGGACCTTCATCCTACTTGTGTTGCTGCCTTCTATTAACACATTCTGTCTGCTGAGCTCTGCCCACAGCAGACACACCAGCATGGGCAGCGCTGCTGCAAACTCCCTCTTGTGACAGCAAAGCACGTGTGACAATTCTCCTGCAGGATGTTCCTGTGTCTTCATTTTAACAGCAGCAGCCGAAACACCAGCGTGTGACAGAAGCTACACGTTAAGGCCTAAATGTTGAATATTCAAAGGTCACGCAGAGGGAGCCTGAAAACCTGCCCACCTGCCTGCCAGCCCTGGCTGAGGTGGGATTTGCAAATCAGGGAGAAAAGTGTGTGTGCCCAAACCTAACGCTAAGGACTTGCACTGATTACGGACTGTTCAGACCTGGCACTTTCCAGCTGGAGCCGGCACTGCTTCTTAGAAGTCTGACACAGGGCTTTTTCCTGGAAATCTGCTACTGAAGTGTGTTCTAGACAATTTACTCCCTTTCAAGCAGACTTATATTTTTTTTTTTCTATAACCTGTCCGCAGCTCCTCATCTCAGCTGGCAGAACAAACCTGAGATCCGAAGAGCCACATCTGCAGGGCAACGTCGAGCAAGTCCCAGTGTCTGCACAGCCCCGCTCTCGGCAACACCTTCTGGGAAGCACTTGGGTAACACCATCACAGCCTCTCAGTCAGGAACTAATTACCCCCAAGCAGCAGAAGGACCATGGGAGTGTCTTTGGTAGCAGAGGGAGGCACAAAGAGACCGTGTGCCGCATCCGGGTGCAGAGCAGCACTGTTTTAAGGGAAACAACCCAACGGAGGAGGCTGGGCCTCCGAGAGCGGGCAGTTACTGGAAGAGCTGTCACTATGCCAGGCCACATCAGCACTGGATTTATTGTGCAGCTTTTTCTGTCCAGAAAGTGCCTGTGTGGAGCAGAGCAGGCAGGAAGCAGCAGGACCGAGCTGTGCTCGTGCCCGTGTGTGTCCCCAGGCTCTGCCCCGAGCCCGCACAGCTGCCTGGGAATCTTCCATGCAGGCACACAGAACACTGGTGCTTCAGCAATACAATAAAGCTGCTTTGAAGTGTGGGCAGAACCAAACTGTTTCCTCCAGCAACTCAAAAGCCCCAGACTTTGCCTTGCTGCGGTATTTTCAAGAGGAGTGAAGCATCTTAATTCTTCTCCCCCCTGCAATTTATTACCTTCTGTGCTGTGTACCAGCCCCTGGAAGCCCTGTGAAAGCTTATTTTAGTTGATCAGAACCACAGAATAATTTAGGTTGGAAAAGACCTCCGAGATGATCAAGTCCAACCTCTGACTTAATAGCCCCCATGCCCACTAAACCATGCCATGAAGTGCCAGGTCCACTAGTTTTTTGAGAACTTCCAGGGATGGTGACTCCACCACTGCCCTGGGCAGCCCGTTCCAGTGCTTAACCATTCTTTCAGTGAAGAAATTTTTCCTAATATCCAACCTGAGAGTCCCCTGGTGCAACTTGAGGCCACTTCACCTTTTCCCTGTCCCTGATTCCCTGGGAGAGGAGACTGACCCCCACCTGGCTCCCCCCTCCTGTCAGGAAATTGCACAGTGAGAAGCCTCCTATTCTCCAGGATGAGCAACCCCCTTCCAGCTCCCTCAGCTGCTCCTCAGAGAACTTAAATTCCAGACCCTACACCATCACCCAAGATGTACCCATCTGTGGAGTCCTGAGGACAGGCAAAAAAATACGTTCAAACTCTTTCTCTTCAGGGCGCAGAAAACCATGTAAAAGACTAATCACATCATTTCCTAAAGCTTCATCCCCCCCACAAGGTGCAGCCCTCTCTTCCTTTACCACAAGGACAACAAAACCAACCAGCTCAGACCAAGAACCAAACTTCTAGACGGCTGAAGGAGAGAAATCAAGTTAGTGTGGACAGGTTCTCACAAGGGCATCTGTCAGCAGCACAGCCAACGCAGTCCTCTCCAAGAAAATCCTCATGAGAAGGTCCAAGAAACCTGAGATCCATCTGTAAAACAAGGAAAGCAATGACACTTCCAAGCCATCATCTTCCCAGGGCAAGGCTAACCCGTGCTGTAGCATCTCTTCCACACAGCAGCATTCATGACACACATGGATTCGAAGCCGAGGTCCGGCTGCCTGGCTCTGCCTTTACCACATGCCCTAAGGATGGGTGCAAGACCACAGCATCTCCACCTGACCATCCAGAGAGCAAGTCCTGCCAATTAATATCATTTGCACTTTTGAAGAAAGCATCTTTCAGAACGTGCAGTAACAACTCTGTGTGTTTCTAGAACACGGCTAATGAGAAACACGCCCGCATTAGGGCTGTAAACTGTCATTTCTAAACTGGAAAAACAAATGAACTCCACAGAGAGAGCTATTGTGCTGCTCCAAGATGCCTCCTTCTAATTAGGTCCTGGAAGTTTCAGAACATTTTCAGATCTTGAACTGCTCTGTCCTTCCTAGATTTAATGATCAGAAGAGCTGAGGGCAACTTTCTCATTGAACTAGGGAGAAGAAGAGGAACAGAGGAGTTAGTTAATTTTTTTTACATTTAAGAGCAGGAGCTCGGAAAATAGGAAGAGCAAACCCAGAATTCACTGTAAATTGCTAAAAATGGTAGATGGAGGAGCATCTGATTATGTTTTTGTTTCTGTAGTTACAAATTAAGTACTCTGTAATCCTGCAGAGAAAATTATGAGAATGACACGCCAGTGACTTAAGCCCTAATCCTAAATACTTCATAATTCACGTTTTTATTTGACACTGATGGGATCACTTGCAAGAGTAAAGCTTTGTCTGCAATTAAAGCACTGCAAGAATAAAGTTTACAATGGTTTTGTTTTGCCACTGAGTAACTGTGGTGATTTACACGTGGTTTAGCTGCATTCAAAACACCTATCAGAGAACCCTCTCCCTTCCACTGATAAACTCCTGCAGAATTCCTGCACTTGGAATAATATGAGAACTGTGATCCCATCTGTGACTGCAAATGACAACTGTGGGCACTTTATCAGATTAATCAGGGATAATCAGAGAGAACATGCACTGGGTGCGACTTGGAAAGACTTCCATGTGGACCTAATGATCCTGCACAGGAAATTCATTAAAAAAAGAAGTCCTACTGCTTCCTTTCCATGCCCTGCCACAACAGGAGCTTGTGTAAAATGGATTTTCTGAGAGCTTGACTTAGGGACAGCTTTACGATCCATCTGAAAGAGCGAGCCAGCCTGTAATTTGCAGACAATGGCCTGTGAGAACATTACATCTGACAAACTGCTCAACTTACTGTAACTTCTTAAATTCCTTTTTTTTTTTTTAATAGAACATGGAGCCAGGGGAAGATGACAGAGTGACAAGTCTGCAGAAAGGCTCTGTCTACATAGCAGGGGAAGGGACTGTGAGAACTTCTTACTTAACGCCTCACCATGGATCTCATTTATGAGCTGCTGCAGACACCCCATGGCATGATGGAGATGAAGGAACCACTGAGAAATTATCTGTCAGCTGTAAAACCAATTAATACTAACTGTAGTGAGAAAAGAACTGTCTACCCAGATAGAAATTGAGACTGTGAAGTCAGTTACAGATGTCTTTAAGGGATTTTTTTTTTTTTTTTTGGCCATTTTCAACTTGAACTTAAACCACAGCTATTGGGGAAGAGCTGCTTCATCTTTTCTTTTTCTGCACCATCAATCCCCCAGCGTTTTCAGCACCAGCTTAATGAATTCTACTATCAAGAGAGCTCATCCGCTATGTAATTTGTCTTTTTTTGTTCCCTTCACTAAACAAGCAGGAAAAATGTTTTTAATTTGCAAGGCTGAATAAATACCTACTGTGTTTGCCAAGACTTTATTGACATTCATGGCTGTCCACAAAGCTGACTGACTTCTCACAGAGATGGTTTATCTCCTCAAGTGAAAAAAAAAAAATAAACCTGCCTGAACAAGAAGATGTTAATCTTCCTTAATAAAATAAATGAAAAGCAGCGGTTCAATAAATAATCCTGTGGCTAGTGAAACCCCTTCATCCAGGATATGGTCCCAGAGCAGATTTTTGTTGACAGCAAGATCACTTAGCATTGGGATACCCTCCAGTGCTCGCTGCTGCCTCTGATGCTCCAGTTCATGTCACCTTCCAGTTGTACCCACACGACCGCCCGTGGGCCACAAAGTTCACTCAAATGATTCTAATTCAAGGGGAAAAAAAGGAATAAAATAAAGGGTTTCTTTTCCTGACTGAGTTATTTTCAGCCATCTGGTTTTCTGCACGGTCAGGGAAGAGATGGCGCTGCACTGCTGCTGGGCTGGAAATGAATGGCTGGGAGTGGGCAGAAAACTTATTAAGCTGGCACTAGCAAAAGATGTGAACTGTGGAATTACACCTTGGATAGCATCAAATCCCATCTCTCTTGCTCAGCTGGTCATGAGGAGTTGAGATGAGTTTCAGCCCGCAAGTGAAACACAGCTCTTGAACTTTCACAAGAAAATCAATACACTGAACTCCTGAGGTTCTTACTCAGGCTTTACTGGGGTTTTGCACGAGGTCCAACTTTCCCCGCAGGCCTGAATTTTTCCATCTGAATTTCTCTTACTGAACAATTTTGTCATCTTATGTTAAACGGGCAATGTGCAAGAAACAATCAAAGCCTCCGGTAGCTGGAATTTAATGTGACCAGAAGGTCTGCAGTGGCCTGATATAAACAGGTAAGGACAAAAAGCACTTGGGTGATTGGGGAGGAAATTAATGACATGAAAAACCTGAGAAGATTTCCTACGCTGATGACAGTACTTCCCGTTCCTTCCTGTGCTTTGTTTAGCTGCACTGAAGTAAGAGATCTTGGGAACATCCCTCTGGAACAGCCCTCAAATAAAGACAGTTATTTCCCCACTAGTGAAACATCCAATTTATCCATTATGCACGCACAATACTTTCTTTTATCTTTTTAATTTCAAAGCTTCTCAAAGCTTTGAACAGGAAAGGTTTGATGGCTACAAGGTATTTGTAGCAGCTGATACCAAGGAAGGACACAGATGTGCTGTACCTCAGAAAGAACAGCCTCCACCATGTACAACTTTCTCCATGTGCTTCTGGGACAATTCACTACTGACAGGTTTGTCCTCAGAATCTGGAATTAAAAGAAAACAAAACAAAACACAAGAAGCTGTGTTAATTCCCTCTGTGTTGCTCTGCAAAGAGATAAACTGAAATACAACTTCAGAATCATTCTTCTCTTCCTCCAGGTTCTTACACAGGCTTTTTAGCCACATTATGGCTCCTCACAATCCAAGTTTATGTGAGTGCCTTTATGGCCAGAAGAGGCAATCACACGGTGTACCAATAACCCCAGCACTAAATGCAGGTATCATGCTGCCCTTGGAAGGAGTAATTTCTGATCAGAGCTTTAAAACTCATCAAAAGGAATCACTGCCTCTGTTTGATAACAAAGTATATGTGCAGACACTCCTTGTAAGATATATCCAAAACCTCCTGGCAGACTCCTGTGAGGTGCAGTCCACCTGTGCACTGACTCCGTCGCATTCTGAGCCCTCATGCCACAGGGAAATAATTCTCTGTGGAGGCAGAATCCATAAACAGCAGGTGCCAGAGAATCACCTGCTGCATGCAGCAATATCCTTGACGTAGAAGTTGCTCTGAACTCTGTTTTGAAACCTCTTCAGGTTGATTTCGGGGATTAGCAGCAGAGGAAATCCTAAAAATACAAAAGCAGGCTTATCAAGCTGGGGGAAAAAAAAAAAAAAGCAGTAAGATGTTTTTGTGGCAAAGGCTTCAGGATATGAATTATGCATCACCAAAAACTGACTTCAGTTTGGATGGGAGGAGGGAGATTTCTGTGCATCCAAATCCCAGCACAACGGGCACAAGCTGCTCTGCAGGGAATTATTACATGCATCCTGTACCAACATCACCAATTTGAGAACCCCACTCTCCTTTTTTTATCCTGAGTATTATTTTGTGTTAATTGTGAGAACTTGAGGCGGAAATACCCTGCCTCAAATACGTAATAACAAATACCTCCTTGGAACCAGTCACCATCCATTTCAGAGAGGGCTACTGAAACCATAAGGAAGCAGGAACAGCTTGGCTTCAGCCTCGCTCTATTCCTGTCCACAGTCCCACCCTGTGCCCATCACCATAGCAGCTCTTCTGTCAAACACCAACCTTTGGGGCAACAGAGGCAGAAAAACAGTGTTTTGTTGGTTTGTTTTTTTTTTTTTCCCCTGAAGGGATCAGGATTTGCTGGATAAAAGCAGCTGATGTTATATTTTAGCAATTGGACAGGACAGCCATAAGGAACAATGTAATTCCCTGCTGATTGATGAGGTATGTTAATGAAGATATGATAATGATGCAGCCACCCACAACAAAACTCACTGTTGCTTGCCCATGTCTTAACATTATAAAACCAGGTTTCTTCTCATTTCTACTGCTGCCTTACATATTTAAAAGCATCTTATTGGGATCTGGGAGAAAAACAGTGACCATTAGGAATGCAAAAAAAACCCAAAATATTTCTTCAGCTGGAAATAATTCTTCTGACTTAAAGCTTTTGGGATCTAACAGCGATGAGCATCATTTTTAGCAACCACCCTGGCACTGTAGCTGTTATATAAGTTTCAATAGAAGTGCTAATCCCATCCCTGAGCAGAAATGTCCATCATGGAGCACTCCAGAGCTACACACCTACTGCTTGTATCCTGGTGCCATGTGTTGTATCACGGCCACTTCTGTCCCTACAAAGTGAGCTCTTAAAAACCAGGCACCCATTAATGTTGTCGCCTCTCTGCTTATCTCCAGCACTGGATTGATTTCTGCTGCTCCACAAATCACCGAGGCAGTTTGTCTGTCAAAAGGACCTGGAGAGAACTGCTCTTACGTATCTTTTAAAAATAACAATAAACACCACGAAAACATTTATCACCCTGTAATTTTTGTCTGATGTAATACAAACCCAGACTACTTCGGAAGACTCCACGATCGCTGAAGAGGAAGTGAAATTAAAATTATCATGCAGAAAAAAAAAAAAGATAACAATTAAGAAAGATAGGAAATTCAATCAGACCACTTTAAGTTTTAACCCCAGCTGAATTCCTACGCCTCACCAACACACTGCAGCGGATCTTTTATCCAAAGGAAAATATTCTTTACTCCTCCCATCACGTATGACACTGCAAAAAAAACCTAAAATCCAAGCCAGAAATATTTTCAGAGTGAAACAAGCCACCTCTGAACCTTTCCTTGCTATGCTAATAAAGAAGCACAACAAGGAATGGAAGGGTCCCTGAGCAATCTGGTCTAGTGGAAGGTGTCCCTGCCCAGGACAAAGGGTTGGAACGAGATATCTTCAAGGTCCCTTCCAACCCAAACCATTCTGTGATTCTATGAAGCATAAATCAATTTTTTCTTTTTTTTAAAGATATCCACTTCCTACATTCTGCTGCTGCACAGTGACAAATATATGCCAGATACATTTACACTACATATTTCACAGCAGGAAGAATAACCGACGCAGAGATCTTACTCCCATCAAAGTACTGGAAACAGAAATTATTTACCTTTCAAGTTCGCACAGATTTATGAACAGCTTTTCCCTCAACGTGCTCGTCCTTTTGGCACATGCAGGACACCTCTGTGGGATCAGCACCTGGAATTTTTAAAATGATTTATGTAAATGCCTGTGTGCGCGCTTTTCCACTTTAGCTCCCCCTAAAAATACAAAGAAGTCACGTGGTTGTGGTAAAGATAAAGATTTTAGGGGCTGAGCAATGGCCTGTGAGCTGTGCTAGAGACTGGGAGAGCCAGGAGATGACAGGGAATCTTCACTGCATGCTGAGCAAGGATCATCTGGATCAACTGGTGAGCATCTGGCAGGGCTGCAACCAATTACATCTGCACAACCACGCACAGCTTAAGAGTATTTACTGATCCTTCCTCCTGAACCCCTGTTACTACTCAGTTTGGGCACGTGACTTCTGTTACAGGACAGTCACATCATCAGGAGGAAAGCAGACAATGTGCTTCAACAATAAACACTGATGCTGGCACACGCCACTGAAGTTACAGAGCGAATCAGAGGACAACATAAGGCTCCACATATTGAGCACAGCCAAGCAAGAGATGGGAAAAAGGGCTGTTGGATTCTGAAAGTAATTCTGATTTATGGAATAGTTGTTGCTCTGATCTACAACGACTATTAAACAGCTGTAGTTGCGCTAGGAAAGCGTGTCCCTATCCATCAGGAAAAAAATGTACATATATCCAGTATTTGTGGTCTTATTAGTCTCCCCCCTACAACTGCCTCCACCTGTTGAAGCCACAAACAAGGTCAACATCTCATAATTGGAGGATTAAATCATGGCTGAAGTTCTGGATTTGCCTTGAGACCTGAGCAACTCAGTTTCTGCAGTTTTTGAAGCTACTGTGGGTAGCAAATACTGTAGAGCAGGGCAGAGACCCTGTCATGGACCAAGACACACCAATCTAGAAGCTTCACATAAAACAGAATAAAATGAGTTTGGTCTCCAGTTTACTGCCTGAAGCAAGAAAGTGAGAACAGACATAAAAGAAGAGAAAGTGAAAGGAATAATGAGACAATAAAACCTGATATAAAAGGCAGATTAACACTCCCAATGGCCTTTCTACTCTGGACTGCATAGACAGACATAGTTTTGAAACAGAGGCTTAAATAAAAAGGTATTTTTGTGGCATTTACAGAGGGCTGGCATGGGCCAAAAGCTCCCTTCTGTTGACATACCACGTGTGCAAGCCACACAAACACCTTGGAAGGAAAACAAAATGATGCACACAGGTGGAGGTCTGGAACTTGAGTGCAGAAGGAAAGAGAGAGAGTAATCAAATCCATGTTTGCAAAGAAATCTGATGCAGAACGTGCACAAGAGAGAATGTCATTGTGCACATCAGAAATATGATTAAGAAAGACCACAACTCTCTGCCTCCAGAATTACAGAAAACCAGTCAGGATGGAATCTTGAGCTGGAAATAGGACTGATGCCACTGAAAGTCTGACCAGTGAAAAAAGTGGAAGAACTAGTTATAAGATTTGGTTACAAAAAAGCAACCAGAAACTCCAAAGTTTCAAATGAATTCAAGGGGCACGTGTCAGTGCAGGACAGAATCACAGAGGGGAACACAAAACTGCAAATGACAGGTGGAACTTCCTGCTTCCAAAAATCTGGCCATTACTAGACCAAGGAACACTAACTAAACCCAAAGAAACACCAGTTATTTAGTCAATGAGAGATTTCATTCTTTATTCTGCCAGCATTCAAGTTCTCCAGTTTGTAACACACATATTAAGTTAATTCATCAATGACTAAATGAGTTCAGTTAGTTCACGGCATGTAATTAATTAATTCTCCTCTGTTAACAGGCACATCCTAATGTCACTTTGTACTACTTTGCAAATTCAATTTAATTTATTAGACACGATAAGAAAAAGGGAATTTGAAGGCAGAAAACAAAACTGCAGCCAAGACAGATGCAAAACCTACGGAGATAATGCACAACATAAATACCATCTGGCAGCAAGGTCCCTTCCATGCCCAGCAGGGATGACTGTTCTGCATTAACTGTTTTGTGCTTAGAACAGGTTTGGGATGATGGGTACAGGAATGTGGCAGCTGCCAGCCCGTGGTAGTGACCCCACAGCCATTTCCCTGCAGCTGGACTGGGTTCTCAACTTGCACTCCCCCCTCCTTCAGTCCCTCGCAAATAGTTTCATCAAGAAATTCTTTTTTCACAGAACTACTTTGGATTTCCTTGTGGTTTTAACAGTGGCCAAGGAAATTCACTCAAGATTATCCCCGTAATTCCTTCTGTAGCCACTCTGAAGGTTAAAAGGATTATACAGTTGAAGTGATGACTGGGATAATAAAGTATGTGCTATGTAACGCCAGCTGCACAGGCCTTGACAGAGTGAAGTCTAAGAAAAGACAGAAGAGGAAAGCCTTCAAGCACAAAACCTGACAGCTGCTTGAACATGGGGGTCTGCATACACCTGGCATTCCAAAGTCCAGCTGAAAAGCAGGAGCTGGGAGAGGGGCTCAAACAGGTGTGTGACGGTGGCGTCAGGTGGCACGTGCACCAGTGCAAAGCTGGGAGCAGCACCACGTTAGGCTGGATCTGCCTGTCAGACACACCAACTCCTTCAGCAGCCTCCTCTCATCTCAGCACAGAGAGAAAACAGCAGAGAAGCTCCCTCAGCCAAGGGCGGGAAATCAGCTGAACCAGGATAATGTGAATGGACTACGCTTAAACCCTCATTACCACAAAAACTAAGGTAAGTTTCCCTCAGTAACAAGACGTGAAATTTTTCTTGTGTAAGTGCAGCCACACACAGGACAGGAGCTTCGGGAAGGCCAGTCCTGCTGCTGAAGAAGGCAGTGAGACACATCTGTCTGCAGACAGATGCCCAAGGGGCATCCCTTGCCATGAGACTGGCAGGCTGCAGGCATCATCCACATGGACTGTCTTGGTTCTGCCTAAATTTTGGTGGCATTTAGGTGCCTGGAGTCCAGACTGATAAAACTCTCTACTCAGCGGCTGCTGGGACATCAGCATGTGATACACAGAGCCTGATATTTCCAGCTGTTCACGACTGAAGGTGTTCCAACCTGGAGCGAGGGAACCTGCTTCTCACTGAGACTCTGCTGCAATCCATTCAGGCAAAAAGCAGCCTGAACACCACAAAGTCCCCCGAAAGTGCCTAAAATCCACGACAGTCCATGCCAACACCAGAGAACAAGGCTGCACAGGAGAGCTGGTGCTCCTTCACTGGACAGGGAAGCACCCACATGGAAACCAAGAGAGCCCCTTTCTATGCCTTCTCTGCCTTCAGCATCCCACTTCCCTGGAAAACTGGAGCACAGATCCAAGATGTGAGCTTGAACATCTCCCTGCACTGGCTGTGCAGCTCCTGAGCTTCCCTGTGCCCCCTGCCACACACACACACACCCCCTCAGAGCAACTGATGCCCAAATCTCAGTCTAATAAGTGCCAAACAAGTTCCCTCTGGGGTGTCCTCCCTCTCTGCAGATTATTTTGATTCCAAAATTCCATGACATCCACACCCCTGCCATCTTCATAATACCACAAGCGTCTCCCCAGCCTTTTCAGTCTCATTCTGTCCCATTCTGGTGGAAACTGAGCTCTGCCCTGTCATCCGACACTTTTTTCACAGCACATGTAGGAAGTATTTCCTAATTTTGGCTCAAGCAGTTGGGCTCCACACCCAAGGGCAAAAATCCAGCATGGAGACATCAGCTGGGTATCTCTGTGCTCCAGAAAAATTTAAAAACCCAGCTCAGTACTGGGTATTTCTAAAGAGGTTGTATGCTGCATGTACAGGGGGGGACTGAGCTAAGCATCATTTTGATCTGAAGCTTAAAATACGCAACCTTTCCAGGGCTACTTCTGTATTTCCATGGAAAACTGGTAATATCCTTGAATAAAATGAGTAATTAAAAGAGTTTTTAAAGGACTTACAAGGATAGGAATGCAGAGAGAAGGCAAAACTGATTGGGACTACAGCACAGCACTGCAGTGAGGAAAGGAATGACTATGATTATGTTTGAGGTGCTGTAATTTAGGAGAAACTGTAGCAGAACTGTTACAGCAGCTTGCTAATTCTATTACTAATCCTTACATCACACTTTCCAGACTCCTTACGGATTTCCCTCCTAACAGCCTCTGCTTTATCAGCGTTTTTTTGGCAAAAGAAATTACAGTAACTTATGCTACGAGGGAGTAATTGTGTCAGGGGGTTGGTAAGGAATATTCACTTGCATTTCCAGACTGGAACAGCCCTCTGCTTACTGCGCTCTCTACACCATCAGTCTGAAAGAGCCCTCACCCTGCTTTCAGGGCCATGAAAGTTATATTAGGGTTTCCAGTTAAGGTGATGATAATGTGGATCCGGTATGGATGTGACAGGATAGGCTAAACGAGCTAAAATAATTGAAGTCAACATGCAAACCGCACTGTGCAGATCTGTAAAATACTGTACAGACCTATAAAACAGTACAGACTCAAAGCAAGAAGTCAGACCATAGGAATACAGACTATGACACTGTGAAAATTCATTTAAGGCTGTATAATTAAGCCCACACAACAAATGCTTCTTTTTCTCCTCTTAAAATATATCTCCCTCACTTCACATGTCAATATTACTAATAAACTGCCTTGTATCACTGCCCATGGGTACAAAGCCCTTTCTTTGAACACCCCAGCTGCAGATATTTTCAGATGTAAAGGAATGGAGGGGGAGGATTGGCGACAATTGGCCCCAATTAAACTCTTATTTTTTCTCCCCAAATCCATGCTACTGCATCCTAAAAGAGAGATGCTGAGCATATCTGCTGCATCACTTCTCTGAATCCCTGCCAGCACTATCTGCTCTCTGAAATCCCCTGTGGAGATCTCCAACACACCGTGAGCCCTGCACAGCTCCGCCTCTGACCCTTCCTGTTTGGGACTCCTGAGCAATGGGCTTTATCTCATTAATTCAGTGTTTTTTAGGAAACTACTTTTTCCTGCCAGTTTTTAAACCCAGAGGAATTTTCTAGATGTGCAGTGACAGCGCATGAGTAATGGTTCCCTCATTAAACTACCAGGGAGTCATAAAAC